AAAAAAACCCTGTACCACATGGGAGATGGGACTCATAATATAACTGGATAACAGTGAAAACTTAATACTAAATTTAATTGACAAATATTGTCAATTAAATTTAGTATTAACACTGCTGACCAAAGGCCTCTTCTCTCATTTGGAGAAGGTTTGAGCATTAATCACCACGATAGCTCAGTGCTGGTTGGCGATTTCAACCTTATAAATTAGAAATTACAAGTCTAGGTTTCCTCACGATGTTCCTTTGCCGTTTGTCAGTGGTGTCTAGATAATCTTAGGAAGTACATGCAACTCGGAAAAAGTCACATTGGTACTTGCTGTTGGTAGGTTTCAACCCCACACCCGCGTGCATCACCTCTGGGCCACCATAAAAATATATTTATATCTATTGACAATATTTTTTAACATTGTGACCATTATATTTGAATTCAATTGTATTATGATAATTGTGTTTGTATTTTGAATAGTATATTTATTTTTCTTTGAACAATATTATGATGCCGCCATTTTGTAGTTTGCATGGCTCAAGGCATAATATGGTCGGAACTGTACTTTCGGTTAACAACTTAATGTAATTTACCCATATTAGCGAATAAATGATTTGATTTGATACTTCTGAACACCGATAAAAGTTATCGATTACAAAAAACTTAATAATATTTTCACGAATGGGCCGGCTCGATCGGAGCGATACCACGGCCTCACAGGAAACCGACGTGAAACAATAGTAGGGGAGCCCACGATGCTAAATTGGGATTTACTTGAGCGTCCTTGGGACCTACTGGATTTTGAAGATATGCTGATAGAAAGAAGAAATGGTTTAGTGACAATTTCTTCCACCAGTGGGGGAAGGGGAATCTACAGATCTTTGAAATTGTTAAGCGTAACTTTTGTTCTAATGGTCGAGCGTGTCAGATATTGATAATGTACATGCTCCATGTGTATTTAATAATAAAAAACTCTTAATCTGCCAGTTTGCATGGTGGGGTTGAATGTTCTGGAGAGTACAAACGAGAACCCTTCAAAACCCCCACACTCTTGCAAATCAAGTTGGAATGGGCAGATTTTTTTAAACGCACTTCCTTTAGCACGGTATTGACCTACCTTCCCGTAATCTGACGAAACTGACTTTATTTAGTCAGACTTTTTTTTTAATTTTCAGTCCCCCCCTTCTGATCAGATCGGATATATGTTGGGTATATTCAACATGACACTAGGTTTTCCCCATATGTTAATCTGACGCGCTCGAGTAACTACCGAAATCCCGTCATGGGCTCCCCTACTACAACGCTTGCGTTGAGTTTCGAAGTGTGAGTGAGGTTACCTCTGTTGTTTCGGGTGTCCATGGGCGACGCCAATTGCTTACCATCAGGTGATCCGTCTGATTGTGGCTGACTGGCTTATCCCATAAAAAATGTATTACTTATCTGTTGAGTTGTAGAGTTACACAAATCGAACATCGATAATAAACAACGCAAACAATAAAAAAAGGATATATCTGTAACTAGACTACGTGCTTAGGTACGTAGGTATAGGTACTTACCTAACTCTAAAAATGCATACAGTCGAGATGGCAATACGTTGGCGTTTTCAAAATAGAAACGTGACCACTTTGCAAGTCAAAGAAGAAGAAAGGCAACTTAGATTAAGATATAGCCACGCACGGATGTCCAGGGAACTTGGTCATGCGTTAACACGTGGATACCTTAGTGTCCTCTTAAGTTCAGCTTTTGACGCTTCTCCAAGTAGATAGCTTTTAAAGCATAGCAATTTCAGAGTTGGAATTTCTTTGATAATCGTCCTTATGACGTGTGTATCTCTGACGATATGCATTTATATTTACCTAATACGCTTAACTCGTCGAGTACCGGTTTTGTAGACACAATTATAGAACAATAGGTTGCGGTCACCGGTGACCGCTTGGTGTTTGACAGTTTAAACGAGCAATTCTTGGCTCTTGCAAGACTATTATGTAATCTTATATCTTATACTAAGTATTTATAAAGCGGAAGAGTTGGTTTTTTGTCTTTGTTTGTTTGAACGCGCTAATCTCTGTAACTACAAGTCTGATTTTAATAATTCTTTTTGTGTTAGATAGTGCATTTATCCAGGATGGCTATAGGCTATAAAACATCACGCTACGACCCATAGGAGCTGAGCAGAGCGTGTGAAACCGCGTGGATATAGCTAGTTTGTAATATATCGACGATCACGGAAACGGCGCCATCGATTTTCTTATTATTTTGTATAATCGATTTTCTTGGTATCGGGGGTATTTCATATAAAGTTATAACTTAATAGGGAAGGGAGATCGGACGCCGGCTACGCAGGACATTCGAGTTCAAACCTCGGTATAGAAATGTTCTTTTTTATTTTTTGTGTAGTTATTCTATTTTTTTGGTTCTATATAATTTATATCATATCTTTCTTTTCTAAAAAAATATGTACCAATAAAATAGCGACCAAGCTTGGGCATCTGTACTGAGTTTTTACTTAGAAGGTGCACATTTCTTTAATGGCAAGATTAAAGTACAAAGGTATATCCCTATCGGAATTTCTTCCTGTGGACCTGTAGCAGGAGAAGTAATAATGATATAAGATACAGTGTGCAATGACAAATAGAAAATAGACATAGAAAACCGACTTGAAACTTACAGACCCTTCTAAAAATAACTGTCATTATAAAAACACGAAGAAGTTGAACTCATTTACAGAAACTAAATTAAACTTAAGTATGTACTTATACTAAAATAAAACTAAATATCTATAACTTAAATTCGTACCCACTTTACAATTTCCAATGACACAATTAAATTGATGCGAAATTCCCTTATTACCGAACTC